ACAGAATATGTACAAGATCAAAGTACAATACCTGAATGAAGTCTGGGAGTCATTTCGATAAATAAATTCTAGTTGATGTTTTTACTGTGGTCTTGTTATTTTACAACTGATTCACCAGCAATCATCGTCAAAATCAAGAAATCGTACATTTTATTGACATTCAACTAACAGAATCAAAAACAGAGTTTGGGTATTATTAAGAATATGTTGCGTCTGACGTGGAGCAATATAATCCGTTGAATGAGGCTGAACAAACTAAGCGTTCGGAGGAAAAAACGTGATGAAAGTAGGAGTGTTGCTCGAGTATTGTCAATAATTGTATATACAAAAGTTCGGATTTCAATTAATCAGATTCGTTTAGAAGAACGAAGTGTGTAGAAATTATCAACAGACAGTTATCATTTGAGTTAGTACGTACATTTTTAACCCAGATTGAATGGTTATTTTGTCTGGAGGTGGTATTCCGTCGGCTGAATTGAATGCTTCCCGGTGTCTTTGAGTTGCGGATCGGAGAAAAGGATCCGTGGTACCTGGGTTGTCACCCTGTATCATATTTCCACGACCCCTGATGAATCACGTAGGATAAACTCTGGTGAACTACTGAAGTCACCCGCAAATAAATAGCCCACGAGGCATCCAGCACAAAATTGTCATCATTTGTAGTATTATGGCTATTGTGAGTTACTGTTATCTTCATCTGTCTCATTCACTAAACTATAAGGATCGGAATAAGACAAGATGCGATGAGGATGAGGAATGATGAAACGCAATTTGACGAGGCTGAAGAACAAAAGGAAAATTTATCGGTTCCCGGCTGTTGTGCCTGACATGGTAGACAGAATGCAGCAGCAACAATTTTATCATAACTGTTGAACACCCGTGCCAGACGGCGAAGTTTGCTATTGCAAATAGTGTCTGAGTTGTGAAAAGATCAATAGTCTAAGTGGGATCTGAACCCACGCAGCGCATACCCCACCGACTAAGCTAAAAGACTGCCCTGATCTTTTCACATTTGTTTCACCATCTACTGTCTTCCCTTATCTGTCAAAACAAGATTCTATGAGTAAACACAGTGAGCAAATTAAACTATAATGAACCAAACACACAACGACTGAGCACAACTATTCATTTCTCACGAGGCACGCCTTCGGATGCGTAACTAAATGTGTAAACGGTTCGTTCGTGTGCTTGTGTGGTGATCGTGCAACGAGTACGCACGCACCACGC